GCAGAGATTTTCTTTTGCATTCTAATAAAATCATCTTTATGAAAAAAAATACAAAGAGCTTCCTGCTCAGCAGCATACCCTGGGAGAGGAGGAACTGACTGATGGAGTTACCACCTCATTTCTTCAATTTATTCTAAAGATAAGAGGCCCCAGGCTCTGTTGAACCATAGAGGAAGTGTATTGGAAGCTCCACAGAGGATTTCCCCCAGAGCGACCAGCACAGAGTAGGTGCTTTGCGAAGGTGATGAGACGGAGGGACTTGTCACTTGGCTCTACAGCGAAGGAGCCCTGATTCCAGCCAGGCTGGGCCAAGAGCCCACTCTCTTTCCCCAGAAAAGCAGAGGAGCAAGTCAGATGAAGTAATCAAATCACACCCACATGTACCCCGGAGAGACGAGGGAAGAGATGTGACAGACACTTTTAACAGGGCAGCAGGAAAGGGCCAGCCTATACACCAGCGAGCATGAGTCCAGGTGGGCGCTCTTCGCGGCCATTTGAGTTGAGGCTGTGAGACTCGTCCCTAACATGCAGGCCCCAGACAGGGGAGTGAAACCTCAAGAGACTGTTGCCTTCACAAAATAAAACCTTGAAGAACAGCAACACTGGGAATAATTCACTGTGACAGGGAAACTAAAATGGTGACTGGAAACTGAGCAGATTCTCCAGGAAAATGCTGCGAGCCAAGGTTTGCCTCAGCTTCAGGGGGGAGAGCTCCAGGCGCCTGCCCAACGCCCATCCTCTGGAATGCAGGATGCCCCACCCCGTGGCGACGTCCCTGCGGGCTTGTGTAAGAGAAAATTCCCTTTCCCTTTAAAGATCCAGTTTCAGGAAACTCCACTGATGTTCCGCCTCCTCCGTTCCCACTCCCAGACACAATAGGGCCCCACAGTGTGATAAATATCTGAAGGGACAAGAGAAGGCCAAGCGGAAATTTGCGCACGCCCACACAGACCTTGTGGCCCTGACGCGGCCACCCTGCAGGGTGTCTGTGCGCCGGGGCAGGGACACAGAGAACCGGGCTCGTGGTGGAGCAGCCCCAGGCCTGTGGGAGCAGAGTGCTTGCTCCTCTTGCTGTGACACTGACCCGACAGCGGACACTGCGCTTGAAGGGGCCACTGACAACCAAGGCAGCTCAGAGAGCTGCCCCATGTGCCTGAAGCAAACTGGGCATTCCTCAGGAGTGTGCCAAGCTCTGCTGCAGAGACAGAAAGGCCAAAATGAGGCTCTTGACCTCTACCAAATAATTCTACCCACTGTCACTAACTCTCCCAAGTCAGCCCAGTTCACATGAGTCTGAGGTTGGCGGTATTTTCTCAACTTGAGTGAAAATACCCTGAACAGCATGGAAGAAAACCGTTTCTCACATATCTTGATGCCTAATTTAAATAAAAGCGAGTGCCCCCTCCAAGCCCATTTCCTGAGTCCCTTTTTTCAGAAGGCTGACCTTTTCCCAAAAACACTGAAAGCTCCAAACAGTATGTAACATTCTTCCTCACAGTCAGCCCATTTGGATTTGTGGTTTTCTTTTTTTTAAAAAAAAAAAACAAGTTGCAAACTCTCATTTTGCTAGGTGGACTGTGTTGAGTTGGGTCTAAACCTTGATGAACTTTGAAGCCCACCTTTATTTCTCCCTTGGGAGATCTCTATTCATCCTGCAATCAACAAAAGAGCACTTCAGGGGTTTGACCCAGAGAACTGGCCTCACACAACGGAAGTGACACGAACATCTGCACAGGTCTAGAGGTGAGCGTTAACACACATGCTACTTTGGAACAAAGACTAAAGCCGAGTTATGAGTAAGAACTGTATGCTAAAGCATTGTAGATACAAACAACCTAAAAGTGGGCGTGAAGGGGAGAATGGAGAGAGCACATACAAAACATTTAAAACAATTATTCTTGGCATTCCTGAAAGGCGCAAGGACATAGTTTTTAAGTTTCACTGATGGTCAGTGTTAGGAAATGGAAAGATTTCACCATGACTTACAGGGTTATTTCTTATCCCAGAGAAATTAAATTTATGTTCTCACAAAAACCTGCACATAAATGGTTACAGCACTCTTGACAAAATAGCCCCGAACTGGAAACTACTCAGAGGTCCCTTCATTAAGTGGACGGATAAACAAATAGTGGCACAGCCTTACTGCAGACTGCTTACTACTCAGCAACAAATGGAACCAACTATTGAAACACAAAATAACCTGCATGGATCTCCAGAGAAGTATGCTGAGCGCACAAAAGGCCATTCCTAAAAAGTTACATCCTGTGTGATTCTGTTTATACAACATTCTTGAAATGACATATAGCAATGGAGAACAGGCTGGTGGTTACTCAGGCGGGTGGCACAAGGGAGCAGGTGTACCTATACAAGAACAATAGGAAAGGATCTTCCTGGTGATGGAAATGTTACCTGGACTTTATCAATGTCAAAATTCTGGATGTGTTAGTGTACTAGTTTTTGCAAGGTGTTACCTAGCATTGAGGGAAATTGGGTAACCAGTACTGAATTCTTTAACTGCATGTGAATCTACTATTACTGCAACATAAGGGAGTTTAATTAAAAAAATATTCTCAGTAATTACTGTTGGTAGTACCAGTATCACTATTCTGAGCTTATGTAATATGGGATAAATCATGCAATTACAGGATATTCTAATTCTATGCTCCCTGTATCCTTGAGTGCAATGATTCTCTGAATGAAAAAAATTTGACACAGGAGATGTTAAAAACCTTGCAGTCCTGAGTTTGAGTATGAACTCATGAGTTAGTTTTTCTTAGATTTTCTGATATGCTTAGAAACAAGAATCAGCCCAGTGGCAGTGAACATTGCTAGCCAACAAGATTATAGTTTTGAAATACTATTTCCTACTAAAAGAAATGAGGGTTTCTTAAAGAAACCTCTGACTGATTGCATGTCTGGGGGCAAGAGATGTACTGGCTGATCCTGGGACATCTTGTCACGCCACACAGGGAGGAAGGTATTAAAGATCACTAGGGTTGTTATCAAAAGGATTCAGAAGCCAACTTGAGGGGGTTCCCACCAGCCAGAGTTAGGACGTAGTTTCTAAGTTTCACTGATGGTCAGTGTTGGGAAACGGAAAGATTTCACCATGACTTTCAATGGTGAGATAGGTTTTGATAGGTTTACTTTCTTCCTGTTTTTATAGTTTTGGGTCACGAGTCATTAGGTCAGTCTAAGTAATGGGAAGACTCAAGCATTTATCATGCCTTTCCTATATAAATTCAGATGAAAGGAAACATTTAAGCATTCCAACTAATGAAAGAAGGAATCCATTAGGAGTATCCTAGAACTCCCATATATAATCAATCCTAAAAGTGCCAAAACTTGCTGAGAATGTGTCTGTCTCTCAGCCTGCCAGTTCCTCCACTGAAGATGCCATGGGCTGTAAGCAGTACCAGCACTCGAGGTAACCACAAGAAAATGCAGCACCGAGACACCACCAATTTAAAATGCATTCCAACTTCAAAGATGTCCAAATGTTATAAAAGTGGCCTTTAATCAATCAAGAATGCCCATTTCAAATCCCATTTCTTTACAGCTTCTCACTTTTCAGATATATACAGCAGCCACTATTCCCACCTGTTCTTTATCACTGAAAATTAAAGTAAAATAGTACATTATAGCAATAAAGATAAATATGCACAATCCTCAAAATGTTAGTGTTAAGACTTAAAAAAAAAAAATCCTATCTTAATGGGATTGAAAATCACTGACCATCCTGTCTGCCCTAAACTTCAGCCAGTGAACGTTCTTACTTGGGGTTCTGCAGTCACACCTGCTGACGTCGGCTCCTGATGACCCACGCAAGGCAGTCTTCCGCTGTTCCTTCTCTTCCTGCTGTTCATCTTGTTGTAGTTGGTGGATCCCCAGGAGGTACCACCAAACCCAGCCATCATAATCTGGGGTGGGTGAGCCTCTGGAATTACGTGCAAAATAGCCATGCAAATTTTTTTTTATGGGATTCTGGAATTGCTGGCTGTCTTCCTTTTGAGTGTGGCCTGCCTGCCAGATGCCTGACTTTATCAAGAGTAGGCTGTAATCAATCATGATTATTTTCCAAGATGCTTTTTCTCAAATATTTTGGTCAAAGGTTCATCTGTTGAGAATTCAACAACTTGATTCTAATCCTGAATAAGATAAGGGCAAGGGAGTGTCACGGTGAGATAGTCTTAGATGCATAGGAGAGGAGAGGAGATGGTGAGGTCCCAGTTCACGTAGGGTGAACAGAAAGCTCCCGTGCCATTCAGCTGTGGAGCCCAGGACTTAGGTCATGCCTCTCTGGAGTAACTTAATGAAAACTCCACACTACCAGCATCCACTGCCGCTTTAAGAAAGAAAATATGCAAATGGTACCGAGTCCCAGATGGAACAGGGCAAGTACAACATGCATAAATAACCCAGAGCCTTATGTTGGCGCCAGCAAATCAGCCCATGGGCCAAATCAGGCCTGTTGTCTGTTTTTGTACGATCTGTGTAAAACAGATTTTACATTTTGAATGCTCAAAAACAATCAAAAGAATATTGTGTGGCATGTGAAGGTTATATGAAATTCAAATTTGTGTCCATAAAGTTTCACTGAACATAACCATGCCCAATTCATTTACGTATCATCAATGGCTGCCTCTGCACTACACAACAGCAGAGTTTCCATGGAGACAGGTATGGCCTGCAAAGTCTAAAATATTTACAGCTCTGGCCCTTTGCAGAAAAAAGTTGTCAACCCCTGACTCAGAACCGAGGTTAGCAAGCTCTCTGGTAACTTTTTCATAAATAAAAGATAAATTTTGGATGTGTAGCTACAGAAAATTCCATAGTTGTTACTCTGTTCACTCTAGTTTTCAAATCTCGTGCTCCATACATGCACAAGAATGCAAAACAGGAATGCAGGTAGACTTTCTAAGGTTTCTCATTAGCTATTTCTTGCTTTCCAGTTTCCCTACTTGGCATGCAAGGAGAGGAAAAACAACAATTATCCACGCTAGATTTAAAAGCATTTAATGACATAGCATATATTTAACAGGGCAAAAGTTGAGAGACAGGTCAAACGACTGAGCACCAGGCCTGAGCGACACCTCCCTCCCAGGCCCAGCCTCTGGAGTTCATTCCTATCAATGCCATTTTGATTGTGCAGTAAGATGAAAATTTGTCATTACAATCGTCACAGTGACAGAGAGATGCACACTATGTATCAAATAGCAAGGTAATGAAGCAAATTATAACACAGTGTGGCAACGCACGAGCAAGTAACCATTAGAGTAACATTACGTTGTCCAGTAAATGCTTCAGTTCCACTTGTACACTTACCAAGGATTTAAAGGGTTTATTATACATCTAGTTTTATTATACTTTGTACTAGAATTATCTCAAACATACAATATAATGTATTTCAGCAAAAGAAAAAAAAATTGAAATTACAGAGTATTTAAAACAAGTTATCAGTTTTCTATTCCTTCTCGTATACTGACATTCTTAACTGTCATGGCAGTTGATGCAGAAAAGCCGCCTGTCATGTGTTAGTAAGTGATGCCTGATACAAACGGTTTGGTCTGTAGAGTTAACATGGAGCTGCACTATGGCTGCAAGATCATAACACACGACCTGTTTAACCAAGGTTAGACCCACTACGGGCACTTCTAATAGTCAAGACTCAAGGTAACCACTAGAAGTAAAAGGAAGAGAATGGAGTCAGGAAACTGGTACATTTTGTCTCTGGTGAGCACAGGAAATATTGTTGAAGCACCGCTGCCTTGCATACCAACAGCACTAGAGGCAGGTTATTTCCAACACAGCCTCACAAAATTGAGGAACAGTTTAAATATTGAGATCTAATCTATATAATTTTATTTAAAAAAATCTGGTCTTCCCTCTGCACCTCAAACTTTTATAACTTGGAGATAAAGTGTTAGGTGTATTTCCCCCACCCCCCAGAAATGCTCTATAAATTAAAAAAAAAAATCAACCACATCGAGGAACATTAGGCACAGAGAGTAATGTGTTGGTTCTGAGCTTGCATGCTGGAATTTCACTGAAAAGGTAAGAGAAGGGCAGGAGGTGAAGGGAAGGAGTTCACTTCTTCTTCCCAAAAATGCTGAACCTCTTCTCTTTGTCTTTCTCTTTGTCCTTCTCCCGCTTGCCGGGACTGGACTCGCTGGTGATGGTGACGACGCTGGTGGGCAGGGTCTGTGCCCGGCTGGAGGCTGGCGTGCTCTGGGTGCTGGCAGACACCTCGTGTTTATCAGAGGAGATGGCGGACGAGATGGCCTGGATCCACGTGTTCATTTCCTCCTGGACAAAGGAGGAGGCACAAGTGAGATTCAACCAAGAGAGATGGGCACGAGACGCTTGCACTCCACCTGCCTCTCTGAGCCTCTGTCAGTCCACAGGCTCGAGAACAGTGCGTCTGGCTAACTGGGGGCTAACAGTTCCCAAACGAACCTCTGCTTTATCAGTACAGCAGAGTGAACATGGTTCAACTCTCATGAGAATTCAGCTTATAGTGCCTGCAGCTCAGCACTCTAATGTATGGTGCTGGAAGACTGGTCTCCATCTGAGGGATGTAAGGCTCCACACTAGATGCTACTCTTTTTTAAAAAAAACTGAAATATTTGACGTCATGTTGCATAAATTTAATAGAAGTTGCTTTTTCAAATTTAAAACACATGTTGTGTTCTCTCAGTCAACCCTCTCTCCTCTCAGGGTGAAGAACGCCAATGAAGTGGTCAGTTCAGGGGCAGCGGGTGCCGCAGGGAGGCTCCTGACTGGGTTTCCAGATCCACATCCAGCCCTGGGACCACCTCACCCGCTAGGAGGCGGCAAGTTCCCCCCCACCTACTTCAAGAGACCCTGCACCAGCTCTCCTGCCACAGGAGGCGGCAGCGCAGTGACCTTCACTGCCTCCTAGAGACGAAGAAGTGAGGACCTTTCAGCGCTAGTGACTGTGGGGACCAGATGACAGAGGCTACTCATGAACATCACTGATACGAAGAAAACCACAAATAAAGCTTATAATGCCACCAACACTTGCAAATCCTTACATGCATGAGAGAAATGAATCTTAGAAACTTACATCATCTTTGGCTTGGAAGAGGTACTCATTGCCATCATTTAATCTGTAATTTGAAGGAAAAAGTCAGTCAAAATTTAAGGGAAAAAACCCAGAAACCCCTCAACTCCCTTATCATAATGTGGGATCCAAGAAGGCCATGGGAACCACACCAGGAATGCTCGTCAGAGTACTACATACACACCAACCCAGCCATGGCCCCCTGGACATCAGGAGGCCACATAATTGGACCAATATAATATACACAGGCAACCTGGTGTTCCGATCACTAGAAGGATCCAGAAAGGCCCAAACATATTAACAGCTGGCTCTGCTGCGGCAAAAAACACATGGAGGCCTGATCGCTACTCTAAACTGAAGGAGAGAAAGCTCTTTTAAAAGAATGGGCCCTTTGGAAACTCTACTACTTATGTACCCCACACATTTACAAATACTAGAGTTTCTGAACAGACTTACAGAAGAGTTCTAGATTTCTATTCTTACATTTGCCTCAGGAAGAAACTATCCTTGCAAGGCCATCACTGTGACACAGAGAAGACACAATGGCTTGGACGGCTTATGCGTTCACCCCACTGCTACTAGAAGGAAGAGGGGAGCTGCCAGCACGGAGGAGGGTAAGTGCCCTCTGCCAATAAATACGCTGACCCTCTGGAGCTGCATCGGGGCAGCACAGAGAGGGAGGCGGCCAGGCTCTTAGAGACTGTGAAGTGTTCCAGATCCTGAAGAGCCTGCCACCCGTGCTCATCGACAGAGCTCAATAAACTACACCATTCCCAACTCTCTCCTCTCCAGTCCTTGGCCTGGTCCAACCGGCATAAGATAAACACATAACTAAACACCAAAGCTTTTCAGATCCCAAAGTAACAGATCATTTTAGTATTAAGCTAAGTAACATCCTAATCACTAACATGTTTAGTTATTTCGTTTCTCAAGATAAAATGTTTTGTCTGCCCATTTCCAAGAATAAGCCTCTGAGCCTGGATCCAGTCTGTGGGGAGGTGCTTGTGTTCTCGAGAGTAGAGACATCTGGAACTGGATGGTTTCAGAGGCAGCTGAACATCTGCTGGGCAAGGGAGGGGAGCAGACGGCCCTAGGCCGACACACGCACTTCCTGTTTCTCTCCATCTGGCTCCAGGTAACTCATGAGCAACCAACACCATCTCCTGGATAAATTGCAAAGATGGGGAAACTATTTCTCTAAGCTCCCTTAAACTGTGAAATGTGAATAGTTCACACTGTGTTAGGAAACAGTTAAGTTCCAGCTTATAAAAACAAAAACTCCTTTGCTCCAATGTTCAGCTTGTGCCATTAACCACACCACAGGGAATTCTGGTGATTGGCCACAGTCCCTGGAGGTCTGACCACACATGACAAACCAGTTAGTCACTTCGCCGGCAGTTTTTTTAAATGGCAGAGGGGAAACCCACTGAGCACAGCACCTATCTAGGAAAACCAACCACACACCCACTCTCCAGCAGACAGGAAGCAGGAAGCTTACAGCTCTCACCTTAGCTTGAACACGTGTTTCTTCTTCTTGTAATCAAGGGCCACCTCACAAATGGCTTCTTTCAAACTCACAGGGACCTCACTGTGGTAGGGAATTCCAGAAGCAGCAGTTTTTGCATCTTTGTAGAAACCCATTTCTTGGTTATTTATGACACAGTAAACATTGTGCCAGGACCTGGGCAGTAAGGAAAGGAACGTCAGGGCTCTGCACCACACTGCCTTCCCCAGCTAAGAATGTGACGAGTAAGAAAATGTCCTCAACACAACGTGGTGTGACCCCCTTGTTAAAAGCCCTTCCTAAATTCTGCTAAACCTAAACAATGTAACAAAATTTCTCTGTGGAGTCCTGGGGCTGGGTTCATGTTGCTATACTGGCAGGTTGCTGAGGGCTACTTCTCTCTGAATTTGGGGAAAACATGGTGTCCCCTTCTATTAGATAAAAGTACTCCGGCTCTGATGGGAAGGTTTTTTTGGTGTTTGGTGTCCTCTGCTGTACTATTTTCCTTAACTGAAGTATACCTATCCCTAAGCAGCTCTTCCCCATCAGCTTCATTCTTGATGTGGCTTGGCAACTTGATAGGGAGGCAGATTCAGGGCCAAAAGCATTTATGGGATCTTTGAATGAATTAGGAAAAGATGGCCTTTCCCCCATGACAAACTATCATAAAAAATGCTTATTTTATTAGCATAAGACATTTTACTGCCACCTGCCTGTATTAACATATAAAATCTTGGTTGCCCTCCATATGGATGGCAGCTCTTAGATGAGATTTCCTTGTCCAATGTACAACCTGTACAACTGTACATGGTGGTCCCAGGCAGTTTTGGTTTACTGATTAAACACACAGGCTTTGGAGTCCAATATGAATTTCACTCCACCTATGCTACTTACTAGGCTTCTACAGAGAGCGAGCTTTTTTTAAATCTCAGAGGTGGGGTTTCTCATCTGGAAAACAGAGCTAATAAAAGTAGGGCTTTTGATGAATATAAAGACTGATATGGAAATAAGGCTAGGAAATCAATGTATTAAAAAAAAAATATTCCCCAAGAAGGGAAATCATTTCACTTTAGGGGAGATTCCTCAGCCTGGCAGCTCTCCCTCTCGGGATGAACTACTAAGGTCCCCTCTTGCTATTCCCATCCATGCTGAACTCTCCTCTCAGTGAGTGAGAAGCACTCCACATACACCTGCTTTCCAATGTCAGTCCCAAGAAAAATGTGATACCCAAGAGGCTATGAGCTAATCAACTACATGAGCGTTCATCCCCCCCTTTCAACTCAGGAGTGGCCCTCCCCATCTTGCTGCCTCAGCCCCTGCTGCTTCACCTGCTCGAGGCTTTCTTATTGTGGGCCTCCCACTCGTGCTTCCGATTCAGGAAGCCTTCCATCTGGGCCGCAGGCGTCTCCTGGGTTCTGGCCGGTAAGGTGGCGGCACTCTGGGCCGGGAGGGCGGTCTTGGCTTTGCGATCGGAGGTCGGGGAGGGAATGGGGCTGGACTCTTTCGAGCTTGTTCTCTGTTCGGCAGCACCGTTGACCATTTCACTTGTGTCTGCCATATCTGCCATCTAGGGAGAGCAGAGAGGCCACTCAGCTAGCCTCCTGAGCCACGAGGGCGACCACATACGCTCCGACTCGCACACGTGGCTGTGTATAAATGCCTGGCACAGACTGAGGCAGTACAGTAAAACCATTGCACAGCCCACAAAGCCAGCTGGACACCAGGGACATTAGAAAGTGGGAAGGGATTAATGCCCGCCCATTTATGGGGCAATAAGAAAAGCGAAATGCCAGGATGAGTTTTACTGCACTCTGCTCTTCTGATCAATTCATTTTCTCTAATATAACTCAGATCATTTCCTCTTATGGTTACTTTAAAACAAAAGGACAACAGTAACAATCACACATATTAAATATGAGAGAGTGGACGTTATACAGCAGCCACCTTACAACCAAGGACGCCATCAGAAGGGCTGGAAGTTTAAGCGAAAGAGCATTCACAAACAGACTGATAGACAACTCTGTCAGAACTACACAGCATTCCCCCAAAGACAAAGAAAGGCCTGTGGTTTCTGAAAATGCTCTCTGGCTCTCCTCCCCCACCCCTCAACACATTGTCATAAATACATGCAGAAATTAGGACGACAATCATGCATTTCACATCTACCATCCCAGTTAGACTTTGGAACTTAAGAGCTGGAAGGAAATGAGGCAAGTCAACAAACATCAATTTAACCACATCTGCCGAAGTTGTATCGTGAGTGGGTTGTAGTTTGTGTTAAAGGAGCTGGAAAAGCCAATCACAGTCACTCAACACCACACGGCTATTTACCCCCAAACAAAGACAGAACCGGGGCCTTCCCCATCACGTGCTGCTTGATCGCGGTGCCTTGCTGCGCTGAGATGAGAAAGCCCAGCAACAGCCAGGCTCCCAGCGGCTCTGACCCTTCAGGCTGGAGACGTCTTCGGGAGCTGTTCTTCCCAAGCTCATTTATATTGTAACCCTCATGGTTTTTTCAGCTTTGGAAATGCAGTAGGGTCTCGATTCATTATTGTTTTCAGCCTGTGTACCATCAACTGTGTACCATTAACTGTAGCGGCCCCTGGCTGATACACCCAGGGTGTGGGTTTAGCGAGTTACTCAAGCTGGGTGTGGCTAACACTTTAGTGGGTTACAGACAACCTGCACCCCTCATACACGGACAAACACGGAGGTGTCAATGACAACGCTCATTAGATACGTCCCCCCACCACTGCTGCCCGGAACCAGAATGACACCAAATTAGCAGCAACAATGTCAAGAGGATCAACAGCAGCCTGGCCGCCACTGCTTCAGCGCTCAGGCGTGCCAGCTCATGAGCGGGACCTCTCACTGGGTTTTTAGCTAAGTGGCTGGGTGGGAGTCCGGTTTGTATTTTCTCTATACAAACTATCATTAGCATAGGGGTCTAGGGTGAGTCTGGAGGCTATGCAATTTTAGGGTGTTTCAAATTGGAACCCTGTACCTACACAGCAATATGGTGAATGCAGTCTGAGTGCAGAAAGGTTTGGAGGAAGGGATGCATGGTGGTTCTCCTAGCCTTGCAAGTGACAGCATATAGACATGTGCTTATGAGCAACAGACTATTTAAATATTGCTCTTTTTCCTGTCACCTTTAAAGGAGAGATGAGGAGGGAAAATAACCAAAACACCAAGCCTTGAGTCAAAAGAAAGTGAGTGGATTTTAAAGTTGACCAATCTGTTCTAGTGTGAAATCTCAGGAAACTTCTGGTGAGGAGGAAGTGTGAGTTTGTCTGGAAGGGCTGTGCCAGGCTGAGTCCAGGGAGATATGGGGTTAGTGTGTATAGAAACCAGGTTAAAAAAAATTAGTGCTGCAGGTGTGACTGGAAAACAGCTGTAACAGCAATGACCTGGATAGAGGGAAATTTATTGGAAAAAGGCTAGGATTTATAACACTTGGTTAGACTTAAAGGTAGGTGAAGGCCAGGGAGCCTCTTCTGGGGGAAATTCTGCAGCAAAAATTTTTTTCTTTAGAGTTAGCAGGAAAGAGAAAACCCCAAACCAGTATGCAGAGACAATTAATGTTTATGCAAATGAATAACTAGCCAAGAAAACAAGGAAAATAAAAGAACCAAATGAATTTTAATGGACTTGTGCTTAAGCATGCCAACAGACAACACACCACTAGAGACAAACACCAAAAGCAAATCATAGTGCTGTGACCAAACAGTGGGTACATGGGAATGCCCCCCACCCCAGGTTGCTTCTCTTGAGCAATTAGTCCAGAGCACTTTAGTGGCTGGGCACACCTGAGATAATATCTCAATCAGGAGGTGAACAGAAATGCAATGTGACAACTAGTAGCACAAGAAACACCTGATTGGTTTTCTAAGTGCACGAAGCAACACTATTTTCAAGTTCATTAACTTGAGTCTCTGCACTGTAACTCAAAAGGATGAAAAGGCTTTTTTTTCCTTCCAATACAGTTCAATTATTAAAAATTAGTTCTGGCAAGCTACAATTTACAAATCTACATAAAAATCAGCATGAGAACAAATGCCAAAAACAACATAGCACTTCTTTCCTGTGTGCTTATGTGTTTTTTGGTTTTTGTGGGTTTTTTTGGTCTTCTGAATACAAAAGGCATAAAATTGGATATTAGTCCTGATGACACAAAATTTAAACATGTATACGGAAACATCACATATATACATATAGATCAATGACACATGTAATTTGGAGCCAGAAACACAAGTCTGGTCTGGGCTCCCTAACAACCAAAGATGAAGCAGAAGTTTTTGCTAAAATGAATTTTGGTGTGTTTTAAGGCAGAGACCCAATAATGGTGCACACTACCCCCAGGACATAAGCAGCTTGGCATCTATCTATATACCCATCTACAGTCACAAGTAGATAGATATGTACATAGAAAATAAGGAAAAACAAACAAGATGCTATATGATGTTATCCTGACAAAAGAAAAAAAAGACATGCATCATGAAATGAAAAGACAAATTAGACTAAACTCATGGAGAACACATTCAAAACAGGTTTCTGATTCTACTAACATCTAAATATGGCAAATGAGCAAATGACTGTCTCCCAAGGCTTTGACGTAATATAGATTTGGTCTGGTTTTATCTTTATCCGTACTAGGAAATCACCTCTTTCATTAGCTTTTATTCCTAAGGAATAGGATTTCTGTGAAAATATTTTCAATCCCTACTGGTGGTCTGATATATGCCATCCTAAGACTATTTATTAGAGAACTCCACAAAAAAAACATTAAAAAGTTTCAAAATGCATCAGAAGATCTGTACGAAACATACAACAGTTTCTGTCTACAGCGATGCTAAAACTATTTTTGAAGCCAGGAGACATGCAACTGCCCTCCTGGGGGTGGTCCAAGAACTACAGTGTTCAAGTAGCCAGAGTGAACCAGATGGCTTCTGTTCAATTTGTCTGAAAACTTTAAACAGTTTGACACTGATGTCATCAACTAAATGGAGACCCAGAAATCTGGTAGACAGGCTTCTGAAACATCCTGAGAACTGCTGTCACCTGCCATGTCCCACACACCAGAGGTGCCAACAGTGGCCAAACAAGGTGGCACAGCGAGCAGCCAGCACCTTGCTCCTGAAGCTGGCTGTGTTCTCTCTTATAAGTAACCCCAGAATTCTCAACCCAGGACTTGGCAGAAAAAAATAAGAGGAGCTGGTTTATAAAAAGTAATACATGATCTGAAGGTCTTAAAAAGTTTTAGAGTCTGTGCCTAAAATTAAAGTTTCCCAAGTAGACCCAACTTCCTTTTTTTGTTTTCAGTAAACAAATACCCTTCATGGAATTCCACACAGCTGACTTTAGGTTTTCATCTCTGTACTAAAAGTCTCCCTCCTCAAACACCAGTCTTCCCAGTTACTACTAAACGATTGCAGGTCAATAACATCTATAAAGGGGGGCTATGTATAGCACAGTACCTCACCTTGTTAGTATAACTGAATATATCATACCTGTCAGAGTCTAGTTTTCTTCTTCATTTTGCTGTAATCTCAATTAATTTCAATTACTCATGTAAGGCTTTCGCTGTAAAATCTTAATAAGGTAAAAAGCTCACAATAAATAAACAAAAAGTAAGTATGTTGCTCTAAGGCATCCATCAGTTAAAAGACTCAAATAAACATGAATTAAATGCAAAACAAATAAGAAACCAAGGAAGGCTAGAAAGTAAGTAAAAAACTTTAACACTGTGGGTGATGTAGAAGCCAAAAGGTCAAACCAACAGAATCTGGAAAGAGTGGTTCCTTGACAAATGGTAGTGAACTTCACAGTCCAGACCAAGGCTGGTCACTGGCTGTCCTTCTGCTATTAAAGTTTTTGTAGTTTTGGTAGGTTTGAGAGCGGTAACTAACCCGTGGCGATCCCTGTTCAGCTGGCAAACCATTCTGGGAAACTTGCTCTCCTTTTGAAGAATCCCTGTTAGGCAAAGAAGGAAAAGAAGACAGAGAGGGAAGGGGAAGGGGAAGGGAATTAGAGGAGGAGGACAGTAAGAGAGAAGGGGGGAACAACAAGTGGGTTTCAAAATAGGTTTTTATTTCTATATTTCTCAGAAAAACATAAACAATTCTCTTCAACATGATATAATTTCTTTCCAAGTATTTCAAACTGACTCTACATAGAAAGTGAAGACTAAAGTATGCTCCCCTGCCCCCCACCAAAGGCAGCAATAATTGCTCTGATCACAGCAAAACAAATAGCCTTTCAGAAACAGAAAATAATTTGCCCTTCACGTGAAGTTACCAAGAACTTTCAAAAATCAACATCCAGTCACTGGCCTGAAATGTGTGTGGGTGGTTCTTAATCATATGGATATTATATGGCAACTTAATCATCTGGGAATTCTGAGTGAGAGCGTGCGGGTGCCTCAGCACAAATGCAGTAGAGAGAGTGCTGTCTACATTCCACTTCTGCCTCCTACATAAGTTTCACTGTGGGCAAGTCAGTGTTCTCAAATGCTCTCCAGCGCTGACTATACAGATTCTAAACATTCTACAGAAATAATTAACAGGAAGGGCACATGTGGTTAAGTCCAATGTAGCACAGGCTTAGAAAAGATGCTCCCTAAACCTCACTTGCCACTAAAGCTAAGACTCAGCAAAGCGAGCTGCCTGGGACTCACCACTGCTGCTGGGACTCAGTCTCCTCAGAAACCTTCGCGCTTGGCTCGGGAGACGGCGGCCGCCTCTTTCTCTCCTCTTCCTCTTGCTGTCTGCGCACTTCCAGTAACTCCAACTGAGGGAGAACATGGTGATGTTCAGCAGAGCCCCAAACTCTGCCTGTTTTAAGGAAAGAGCTCTAGATGAACCCAGAAAGCCCTCCTGTCTGAGTTTTCTACATGGATCACACTGGACAACCAGAAGCTCTAACATCCTAAGCAAAACGGTATTAGAGTCATATGCAGTACAATCCCGAACTACAGGAAACAGAGGTCTGAGTGATGAAACAGGTCTGTTCCATGGGCTGGCCAGATCCCTGCGAACTATTCTATGTCCCCCGGGGTGCCGGCTTTAATTTCTACATGAACTATGCAGCTCTCAGCTTAGCTTAGAAAGTACCTGAGCCTCAGGGCCAATGCTATACTTCCGTCAGAGCTCAAACACCACTGAGACCTGCAATAATTCTCAAGGAGGCATCTTGTGCTGCAGTGGGGATTCATGTTCAACCAAAACCCAAACAACACATTAAAAAAGTCAGAGAACAGTCTCCTTGAAAGCAAGCCAATTCATGAGCAATATGCATGCACCAAAAGTATCCCATTATTCCATTTTATCACAAAAGTAAGTATGCAGGTATATTTAAATCCCCAGAATTGCAAAAGTTGGGAAGAACAACATTTGTGTATACCGTAAAGACTCAGCTTTCTACCAGGAGTGCAAGTCTTGGGAAAGAAAATACCAGTGAAGAAGCCCCATTCTAGGGCCTTTACGTTGGCAGAAGAAATTATCAGGAATAGGGAGACCTTTCAGTGGTCTCGGATAAATCTGCTATTTAACAGGAAACCTAATTCTGAAATTCTAAAGAGAACTATAAGGCTATGCTCCATAGAAACCAAAGCTTCTATGAGATATAAGAAGAAAAGCAGATCAAAAGAGAAAAGCAAACCCCATTAATCAATTCCCAGGCAGAAGGCTATTGTAAGTGATCATAAATCTAGGTGCCCCTGAAGTGAACTAGTAGCCCTCAACAGTCTCCCCAGGTCTTATACCCAGAGAGCCACCAATTTCAGGAAGGTCCTTACTGCTTTTAAAAACAGAGCAATAATGGGAATTCTCCAGTCTAGGAGGCGAGCAGGAAAAGGAAGCTGCCCATGAGAACTAACAGGCAAACCCCACCATCCAGCAGCCACTTACTGTTGTCAGCCTCTCCAGGGCAGAGAACCTCTCATCCCAGGTTGCTGCAGACTTTTCAAAAGCCTCATGGCGCTTGATGAGCTTCTCCACCTCGTCCACGCTCTGGCCTATTTCTCGGCTGGATAGGTATGGCTCCTGTCCGAGCAGCCAGGCCTCGGCCACACTGGCATCCCTTGAGAACTGATGGACCTCCAAAACTGCAGAAGGTACCAAGAGTGAGTACAGGCAAGAGGACTTGGCAGTCGGAGGTGGTGCTGCCCTCTGGTGGCAGCTGCCTGCACAACCAGTTTACAGGCGAGATGAGTACTGTCCAACTCAAATGCGACGTGAGCTCCGTGCACAGCTTTTCTAGTAGCTACTTTAAGGTTTAACAGGTGGCAGTAATTTCAAGAGCGTATTTCACACAATCTGACATATCAAACGGTTATTTCAACATGCAACCAGCATAAAAAATTTAACATGTTATTTTTTTTCTTTGAAATCCAATATGTATTTCATCCTTATAGTACACCTCAATTTGGACCAGTCATATTTCAGGTTCTCAAGAGCCATGTGTGGACAGTGGCTAGTGTAGTGGACAGTGCAGGCCTCGAAGGCATACTCTGTTTACTCTGCCCTACTTCACTGAGGTAAGCCTCAGAGCCCTGCAGGAATTCACAGTCTACATGCAACTGGACTATGCTGATGGAGCAGGCATTCACAAATCACCCTTTTTGGGGTGGCAGTTGTTCTTTTTGGGGGCTGAGATAAGGGAAGGATATGAGGAGCATTATAGAAAGTGGGAACAATTTGCGCTAAGGCACAACTTTCACTGCAGTTATGGGAAGGCAGGCAAAAACTCAGCCTCATACTATAGCCAGCATTAATTTTCATTACATCTTGAGAAGCAAGGCTTGGGACCATTCAGGTAAGAAATTGACTGCAGGCAGCATCAGTGTCCCCAGAGGTTGCCAGCCAACTCTTTTTATCCCCCCTGGCATCCCCCAGCATAGCCACAGGGAGAAGGTGCCATACTAGGGCTTTGTTGCCTATCGTGCATGCCCAGCATACATACAGCCTATTGTCTAGTTCACAGCAGAATGTTAACATGGGTTTTGCTGACATCAACTTAACCCTAGCAATTCTCAAAATTTACAGACCAAATCCTGATCCAAAGAATGGTCAAAAGTGGGATTTCTTTTTCAAAAGAGGGCCCAGGGCCCAAAAGGGTGAGGTGCCTTCAGTAGGTCTTTTCATACCTTTTAGAAAAAGCCCCTTAGATTCTGCTTCTAGTAAGCAGCCTTGGTGTGTGAGAATGAGGTTATAATATGGATGACAAAGCCCAGAGCCCCAAACACAGAAAGGCAAGGTAGCAAATAATGCTTGAATTGAGCTGCCTTCTGTATTCATACCACACATTCCTTTATAAAGTGAAATTAAAAATAGAATCTACTCTGAAGGTCACTCTTGGGAATACAAAAAAAAATATGTAATACTTAGAATAATTTCCAGAACCCTTACAGTTGCTAACTTATATTACGCTATCAACCTTCTACTACGAGCACCGAATGTAAGCCCTAACTGGCCAACTTCCACCTTCTTGACTCTACAGAAACAATTCTTCTTAAAGGTAATAGGCGAAGGTGGGGTGGAAAGTAGGGGATGCTTCTGTCTGTATTCTCCCAGAAAGACACTGAATTCTGTCATTCCCGTGATGTCCGTAAAGAACACTCAAACCCCATCTAAAACACGGAGATCAATTATGGAGTGGAAAATTAAGAATATGTCACAGGTAACTACTTAAAAATACTTATCATGAAGTGGTGAAATAGGGCATTAAAACAGGACTTAGCACTCCAAAAATCATTAAGTGATAATATCACATCAAATCAATTAGAGCATGAAAATGAACTCTAAAAGAACATAAAGATGAAGTATGTCCTTACTCAATCTTAACCATTCCCATCGGTCTTCCCACTTGTCAATCATTTCTTTTCTCTTTTCTGTCAACTGTAGTAACTTTTCCTTGATCTGTGAGAAAACAAAGACCACAGGGACATGTTAATAGAATGTACCACATCTCCTAGTTTTCCTCTTGATGGGCACTTCACGTATGAAAAATATATTTGCTGTAGAGATCACCACTAGGCTGGAAAATATCTAAGGACTGCTCAGTCCATCTTTGTACTGGGAGGAGAGAGAAAACATGGCAATGTCCCTTCCAGAAGGGGCTGAGAGTTGGGGTAGGCTTTACCCAGAGCTGCTTTATCATGAGGGGGCCAATAATGCACTTCCCCCGCAACTCTGGGACTGCCTATGACATACACACTCAGGAAGAAAGGCATAGCGAGAGGTGCAAAGCCCTGATTCTCTGAGAAAACACCCACTCCCTTGAAGGGGGACATCCACTAAATCATTCACCTCTTTATTACCATCATCCTAACCTGAATTGGCAACTGCTAAAGAGCCAACTGACCTAGGGTACACGCTGTGGAGAAGGGTGAAGGCAGGGACAGTGCTGATGGAGGAAGTGGGGGGACGAAACTTCAACCTGGGGCTCTCAAAAATTGTCTTCCGTGCCAGATTTATTTACTGGCTCTGTGCCTAGTCTTATGTAATTGTCGTACTCTAAACACACAGGAAAGCAGCAGTTTTTAAATGTAAGTATATATTAATGTAAATATATATTTCTATGTACATGTACACACAAAGATACTCACAAAATAAAGTTTTACATGTTACCTGTTCCTGCTCACCCTAAAGCTCCAGAGCAAAGTGATGTCCTACCTCCTCAGATGCATAGTGCTTTCTTGCCAGCAGTGATTTCCCAAGTTCAATGCAGGTTGTGAAACTGTCATTACGAGCATCAATTTCAGCCTTGATACCTTGATGATTATTCATTAGTAGTTCAACAGATGATACATCCCTAAAATTAGACAAAAATACCTCCTTTAGGAGATAAAGCCTTTCAAATGTTTAGGTTTCAAAACATGTAATTAATTTCAAGGAAACTGTTTAACAGCACAATTTGCCTCTCGGGTCTGATTTATTATCTGAGCTCAGGCTGGGTCACTAGGGCTTAATGCCTGACGACACTGTAAATCAAGACCAGCTTTGCAGCCTGACGTTTAGGATAAAGCTATGTTCATTGTGTGTGTACCTGAACAACTCAAAATGGCTGGTAGGCAAGTACCAAAGAAGCCACTGCATTTCTGTTCGAATTTTACTTTGAAATGCAATTCAGACTCTTTTCAAGCAAGTAGAGACGCAGGTGTCCGCACTGTTCCCCAACGAGTTAGGAGCCAAAGGTTCAGGATGTGTGTTCCAAAGAGCAGCTGACATCACTCCTTATTCAGATGTGAAGAGGCACACAGGGTGAGAACCAACTTGGAAATCAAGGGCTGGAAGAGCTGTGGGAGCTCCTCATGGGTAAAGACCTACAGACAGACAGGTCCCTATCTAGGAAACACATTTGCTTCTCATATATGTGATGACAATATTTCTTCTCTCAGGGCACAGCTCGTTTCTCCATCACAGAGCGGGCTGGAGCCAGCAGG